CCCTCTGGTAACCACCAATCCAATCTCTGTCCCTATGTGTTTGTTTATTGTTGTTATAACATTTGAATTTTTAATCGACCTGAAATGTATTTTTGTTTATGATATTATTAGGATCTAATTTTCTTTTCTTCCATATGGATAGTCTAGTCTCCCCACACCATTTATGAACTATTCCATTGTACTGTAGATTACTTATCTAACAGTCATTTTCCTCTTTCTCATGTTGACAGAACACCAATTTTGTTCCAGTGTGTGTTCTTTTCCCACATGATTTCAGGCAAATCCTGATTGGTCTCAGACTATATTGGTATTCTCGTTTCCCCACCGAACGATTGGTTTAGCGGTTCTAGCCAAAGATGGACAAAGGAAGGTTTGCTGGAGGTGTTTCTAGGAAAAATTTTCTTTTGCCCTGATAGAAGATACGTAATGAAGACACAGTCTCCTTTTTCTGCCTCCTTTTGTATGTTTGACACGTCGAGCATTTTGTGATAATGAAGGGAGCTCACCAAGATCCTGAGGAAGACAGACAGAACCTGAATCTTTAATGATGACTTTGAACCTTACCTCAAAGATCTTGTTTTGTGAGGTGATAATTCTTCTCGTTGTTTAAGTCACTTTAGTTGGTTTTCTGTTATTTGGAGCCAAAAGACATTTATCCTTTACCTACTGATATGTAATATACTAAGACCCCATATGAAAGTGGGTTTATTGCTTAGTTTCTAGTCTGTTCCAGTGGTCAGTTTATCTATCACAGAATTAATACCACAGTGTTTAAAAAATCAATATGTCTAGTTTTATGCTTTTCTCTATAAAAGAGACTTATTGGATTTATTTGTGGATGTTTTAAAGATTTTAATGCCATTGTGAATTGAATTTTTTAAAATTCAGTTTTCTAATTGTTTATTGCTGGCATATAGGAATACTCTTGACTTTTGACTGGTGGTCACATGTCCAACAACTTTGCATTTGTATTTACATTCGCTTCTTCCTTTCCACACTTGATAGCACTTTCCTTTTTAGTGCACTGACCAGGTATACTAAGACACTGTTCAATAGAGGCAATAAAAATAGACATCTTCATCTTATTCCTGACTTTAATAAAATGTTCTAAAATTTTACCATTAAGGGCTGGCTCCGTGGCTTAGCGGTTAAGTGCTCGCGCTCCGCTACTGGCAGCCACGGGTGCGAAACCCCGGGCACGCACCAACGCACCGCTTCTCCGGCCATGCTGAGGCCACGTCCCATGTACAGCAACAAGAAGGATGTGCAACGATAACATACAACTATCTACTGGGGCTTCGGGGAAAAAAAGGAGGAGGATTGGCAATAGATGTTAGCTCAGAGCCTGTCTTCCTCAGCAAAAAGAGGAGGATTAGCCTGGATGTTAGCTCAGGGCCGATCTTCCTCACAACAACAACAAATTTACCATTAAATATTATGTTTGCTGAGGTTTTGTTTTGTTTTTAATCAGGCTAGGGAAGTTCCTTCTTTTTTTTTTTTTTTTTTTTGTTGTTTTTAAAGATTTTATTTATTCAGTTTTTTTCCCCCCAAAGCCCCAGCAGACAGTTGTATGTCATAGGTTCACATCCTTTTAGTTGCTGTACGTGGGACTCGGCCTCACGTTGGACGGAGAAGTGGTGCCTCGGGGCGCTCCCGGGATCCGAACCCAGGCCGCCAGCATCAGAGCGTGCGCACTTAACCGCTAAGCCACGGAGCCGGCCCGGGAAGTTCCTTCTTAATCTTAGTTTGCTGAGTTGTTGCTTTTATAATGCATGAGTGTTGAACTTTATTTAATGCAGATTATGAATTTTTTAGATAACTATAGTTTTTTTCTGCCTTAATTGTTAATGTGGTGAATTGTATTTATAATTGTTTTTAATGTTAAATAATCATTATTGCATTCTTGAGATAAGTTTGACTTGATCCTACACACACGTACACACACACACATTGCTGGATTTAGTTTGCTAATATATTATTTAGCTATTTGCATGTATGCTCATAGGTGAGATTAGCATTTATTTTTTGTTTATTGTGCTGCCATTATCTGGTTTTGAAACAAAGGTTATAGTAGTTTGGTAAAATCAGTTAAGGTAAGTTTCTTTTTTGTATTCTCTGGAGCTATTTGTATAAAAAAGGAATTATCAATTGCTTAAAAGTAAAATATACCTGAAGAATCATTTGGACCTGTTGCTTTTTTGTTGTTAGATTTAGATTTTTACTTCCAATTTAATTACTTAAGTGTTTATAGATCTATTTAATTATTCTATTTCTTCTTGAGATTATTTTGGTAGTTTATATTAGCTTAAATTATCTATTCATCTATATTTTCAAATTGGCATAAATTTATTCATAGGAATCTCTTAAAATTTTTAAATCTCAGTCGAATATACAGTTATATTCCTTTTTTTAATGCCTAGTATTTTTATTGCATTCACTCTCTTTTTGACTTTGGTCATTCCAAAGAATCAGCTTTATTTTTTTTTATTTTGATATACTTATTTGTGCTCTTTGTTTTATATTTCATTAATTTCCATTCCCATCTTTATTATTTCCTTTCTTTTATATCCTTTGGTCTTACTCTGTTATTCTTTTTCTAAATTCTTATTTTCAAATAGTGTATTTAAGATTATGAATTTCCCTCTAAATACTGCTGTAGCTTAGTCCAAAAGTTTTGATTGTTTTTCTTGTTATTCAATTCTAAATATTTCACAATTTCTATTATGATTTTTTCCTTTGGTTTATTACTTAGACTGCATGATATGTTTTAAGTTTATAAATGTATGGGGTGTTTTAAAAAAAACTTTTATTTTGAATTGATTATTAGATTGTGGTTAGACAATGTTTTGAATGACATGATTTCCTTCTTTATGAGACTTCCTTTGTATGTGATTCATTTTTATAAATGTTCCATTGTGCTCAAAAAGAATGTTTATTCTCTAATTGTTGTCTGTAGGGTTCCATAAATGTCCCTTAGCTCATAA